TGGGTGAAGAAAGTTTCTGAACACAAGGCCAAAGGATAGGATTAAAATCTTCACGTGCCAAAGAAAGCAAAGTGATACAGAAGACAGAAAGCCATTTTCTCCTTAATAAATTTATATATATACTTTCAACTGAAAAAAATGCTTCCTTCAATCACACTCAACTAGCTCAGATTTTGAAGCAACTTAGCTGGGGTAACACAAGACTCTGACAAAGTGAGTATTTTTTTTGTAACTGATAATATTTATCAGTAACATCAGGGAGCACAGTATAAATATAACTTAGGCCTTTTGGCCAGCTTGGTTCCAAGTGGACTGGCAATGAACTTGTAAAAAGTTTTGCTACAGAAGCCAACTTCAGTGTTCCTGCAGTCCATATTTAATGCCTCCAGAAGAGTGGTGTATGCACACCCTGCCTGACACTGAAAGCAGTACAACTGCATTGACATGGCACTATGCCCCAGCTAACAAGCCTGGGGAAGTGAAAGGGAATGTGCTCCAGGTGAAAACAGCTGTCTACATTTACAACATGATTTATCTACAAGTTTAATAATGGATGTAAAGTCAGACTTTTAAAAGTTGATGGTGTTAATACTTGATTTCAGTGTGTATTTATTATTTATACATACATGAAAACATATCTACACACTCACATTTATTTTCAAAATAGCTTTACAGGAACCGAAACAACATACAAAGAGGAACACCTAAAATTATCAGTTTTAATTTAAATCTAATTAATAATACCAAGAACTTAGTATTTAAGACTCTAAATATAAAGTGTTGCCAAAATGTCTAATCTTGTAAAACAGTGTTGTCTTACTAAGGAGGAATATTCTCCCAGGAAGGTGTGCCACTTAGGCTGAACAGCTGTACTCTTCCCCCCCTCCACTTCCTTAATTGCAGCATTACATCCCTCTCCAAAAAACAACCATATTCCAACTAAAATACGTTACTTTTGTCTGATATATGCATTTACTGATGTTATCTCTTCATTCCCACAGCAGTACTAATATATCTTTCATATCAGTCTCTTGCAAGCTTCAGTTTTTCATAATTAGGAACCTCTGTCTGATGGCAAGTGGCATATTTAGTACACCATATCATAATCTGCAATCTATAAACACCCAGTAAGTGGATTGTCGTAAAGAAAACTCCTTGGTGCTGTGATTAACAAAGTCAAATGTAAGTTTCTTAGTTTAGATTCCTGAGACTTAATCCATCATGACCTTTGAGTACTTTCTGTCCTTATCCAGAAAATTCTCTTAATAGAAAAATCAGCATTCACCCAAGATAATCACAGTAGTTCTTCTTAGTTAAACTTGTAAAACTGTATTAATTCATCTGAATTTTAGAACTGTAACTGCGAATACATCTCTTTTTTTTCTTTCCTAAAGAGCAACAGAAAGTGTATTGACAGTAACTTGTTAAATCCAAATGAATGTCTTTGTAATTATATCCTGTACTCAGAATCTAATGTTCCAGGGAATATAATATTAGCTTAAGATAGCACATATGAAAAAACGGTGGCTTCAGCAAAACGAAACTTCTAATTTATCAAACAATAAAGCAGATCAGTTTCCTGAAAAAGAACTTTAAACATGCCTTGCACCACCGTAGAACATGGATACATAAAACACACATTTTTACATTTTCATGGAAAAATTCTCAGTTACCATGTACATCCAAGTCTTACAAAGTTTTCTCGACTGTAACTGAGATGAATTGTGTGTGTTACGTATTGCACTTCTGCAGTCAGAAGTGTTGGGAGGCCTGGTCTAAGGATGCTCAATGCGGCTTCTCTAGCCAAATGTTCTTTGTAACATTTCATGTGAAGCCAAAGTTTCTAAAGATAAACTCGAATTGCTTCATTACAAAAAAAGACGGACACTGAGGTGAGACTATTGCAGCCCACACCGCTATTACACGGTCTTCCTAGTCACCCAGGTATATTTCTCTTCAACTTTTAGACAGACTCCATGAAAGCAGCTGCATGCTTTCTCCTCTGCTGCAGATGCTGTTAAACTGCACAGCACAAAAGAAGCCAGAAGGAGCATTAAAAAACCAGCCAAAAATCATGATGTAAAAAGTAGCAGCATGGATTTTATTTCCCACTACCATACTAAACAGAACCCGGCGTGTTTCAAAGAGATGTGTTTCATGTCAGAATGTGCGTTCCAAAAGTCCCAGGGCAGCCAGTCCAAGACACCTGAAGAAACTACAGAGGAGGAACTTGTTAGATGCTGATCTGAGTCTGAGGTTGAAATACACCACGGCAACCCACAACAGGGTGAGTTCTAAATGAGAAGTGCCAAATGAGATCAGTGTCTCCTTGAACGCTCCAAAGATTTTAATTAAAAGGTTGTCCAAAAAGCATAAGTGCAAGCAGGAGAAGTTAGCGTCAAAATTGGCTGTCTCTTCTCAGAAGAACAGGTCTTGTGGAAGCTGTCACAAGTTTCTAAATATCCACTATTAGCTTAGTTTGCCTGGGCATACTGCAGGTTTAAAATAGCAAGCACTAAGTTAGAAGCTGAGTTAAGAACCTTTGAAAATCTGCCTCTAATAGCAAGATCTACTGAGGATTTGAGTGCCACTTTGGTAACCTTGATAGGAGTAGAAAGGTTACTGATTTTTGTCTCTCTCAAGTCTGGAAATCAATATCCTAATCAAGCTGTGAACTCATTCTGTTTCAAGTTCTACTAAAGTTCTTACAGGCATGTATTCCTCTATCCAAAAATAAGTCATAATTGAAGAATAACTCGTATTTATTGAACAAGAAGCAATAAACTTGGATACAAATTCCACTCTTGCCACTTACTGATTGTCAGTTCACTGAACGTTAATATGCTGGTACTTAGTACATAATTATAACTGAGAATTACCTCCTTAAGGAAACTGTGGAAAACTGCATCAGGACCAAGATTAATCCTCACATGCCCTAGCAAACTTTATTAATCAAAAACTAAAAGGACTTGGATATGTTCCTCCAGGTACTTGTGTTTTAATAGTTAAGATACCTTAATGTCATTTGACATCTTGGCAAGATCAAAGCTTTCAGCAATATGTTGGTTACCACTGAAACTTCTGAATACTCTTAAGAATTTTGTTAGGATAGTCAGCAGGAACTGCAATGCACATAATCAAAGAGACAGGCATAAGTGTCTCTCTTGACCAGTATACGTAACCACTGCATACGACCTCATGGATCTTACTGGTATATTATCTTCTTCCATCAACCATGGGCAATCTGATTCACAAGCAAAAATACTAAATAAATCATCATGATTTTGCTTTCAGATAAAGGCAGTCTGAAGGAAAATGACTGTAAGTTTTCCCTTGACTGCGTACCATGTATCAAAGCAAAAACTATAACAGAAACACCGAACAGGACTGTACTTCTCTGCACAGACCTACAAATGTGACCTGACAACTTGTAGAAACAACATCAGGGTGTCCAGTGAAGCATGATCAGACAAGGACTTGCCAGAGGACAACAAGTGTGATGAAGAGACTGACATGGACAATAATGTGTAATATATGTATGTCTAGCAGGACAACACATTAAGAATTTCGAAGTACATGTTCATGAACATGATTTTTTAAAGCATAACTCTGCATTCTAACAAGCGCAGCAAACATTTAAGTTTTTAATTTGTTGTAATTATCATTACATATACATTGCAAAATGCAGTCTTTCATTTTATAACTGACATAGCTGCTTTCCTATAGAATAGCTGTTTTCCTACAGAATGGAGTTTAAACCAGACCTCTAACTAATTTTTAATAAGGTACATAAAATTCATTTTCTCCCGTTTATGAAAATGATTTGTGCTTCAAGACAATGGAAGGAAGAAAATTTTAGAAACATACATTTCTTGATAATTAAGGTGTCTCAATGCCTCCTTCCATCAAAACACCCTCACATATGTATTTTGCAGATATATTAATTATACATGTACATCAGTATATTCATAGTAGTAGTACATTATTATGTATCTGCATTTGTGTATTATGATTAATAGTAGTTTATTAGTAGTATAAAAGTAGTACATATGCAGTAATATAGCTACATTATGGGAGAAATAATGTGTTACAATTCCACTCAAAATCTTAGCTGAAACAGCTTGAAACTGGTAATCCTCTGTG